TCAATGAAATTATTGGCAGCACTTCACCTACTAAATAAGACGCTATAAATCTTTACTGTAAACTTGAAGCTTTATATAATCAGAAAGTAATTTATAGCTACAACTAAACGCAAAACAGAGCAAATTTCTACTCTTAGAACATGTTCGAACTTTCTAAAACAGAACAGTTTTGGCTTATTTCCCATTGATATAATGCTTAAAAAATAATAATATTACTATATTAATATAGAATTTATCTAAATGCTTATAAATTATAATAATTCGAACAAACAACGATGCAATTAATTAATATATTTGAATTATTTAGTTTTATAATTTCAGTGATAAATTTCTTATATTCACAAGTAAGACGTTATTGAAAATAAATGTTTCTCGTCATCTAACACTCAGATAGTGTTACTTTAATAGAGAGATAAATTAAGTAATCTACAAGTTTAAAAAAAAATTAATTAAAAACTTAAATAAACACACATATAATATTTTATACGTGTTTAATCAAAATATTATTAAAATATCATCCTTATAATAATGATCAATATTAAAATTAGCATTTAAACTTTCCTAGGGATTTATAGCTTGTTGGAAAATCGATTCTATATTATAAATTACGAGACCAACATATAATAATAATTACAATTATTAAAGAAGTGTAATAATAATATGCTAAATTGGTTAATTATGGACTTACTTTATATATTCAAAATATAAATTGTAATTCATAAACTTGTTTTTATTACAGTTTGTCAATTCTATTATTATAACTTACCTTGAAATCTAATATTATAGTACCAGTACTTTGTATTTAATTATATGTTCATTTTAAAAACTTCCAAGTTTAACGTTTATATCTAATTACATTAAAATAATTTAGAAAAGTATAAAGCTTTTAAAATACTTTTCAAATAAAGTTTCAATATATAAAATGTACTTAACACTTTGTTACGTTTTCGCAGCAATTCCACGAATTTTAGGCTAGGTTAAGATAATTATAAGTATAAAGTTAATATTTAAATGTTTAATTTTACATAGAATTTTACTTAATTCTGTATGAAGCTAGATTAATATTTTATTCGAACGTTATTCGTTGAATATAAATATTTACAATGAATGTATTTGTATAGACTATCACTAGTTTCTAGGATTCTATTAAAATTTGATTTAATTATTTGGATAATTTTATTATTTAGGCACATCACTACAATAGCAATAGGCCTATAATTTAGTTAGGGCCATATTGCTTCATGGTCATCTATTCCAACCTAATGTAATTATTTGGCAATATTATCCGATAAGCAGTTATGTTTCTTGTCACATTTGGAAAACTAGGTTACAAAGTATGTAGTCCTTGACATTCTACTGGTTGTGGAAGATTGCTATTCGTATAATCATATTTGGGAAGAAGTTGTAACAGGAATTTATTATTTTAGATAACAATTTACATGTTTCTAAAACTACGAAGATAACCTTTAACAAATAATAACTTATTATTTCAACAAGTTAGCTGCTTCATAAAACCACCAGTTTCTTTGAAATGAATACGTTTAACCGATTTCTGGTATTTTGAAAATACAATACAATAATAATTTGTGTTTGAATTACTACGTTTAACCGAGTTTACTTAGACCAAAATTAATATTTCATGAAATGATTCTAAATTTTAAATGTTAGAAATTTTAATTAATTTCGATATTATTTAATAGAATGACCAAAATTTAAAAATTTTTGTAGAGCTATTATTTATAATAATTTTAATTGTCTGCAGGATATTACACATTCTTCTATTCGTAAAAATTCTCTTTAAATCTAAGATCATAAATCGAGTTTTATCAAATGATAATCTAGCAGTTCATTATTTAAATTGTTTTGTTTTGTAATAAATTGTTTGAAGTGAAAGCATAATTCATACTTTTTTAAAAAAATTCCATTTTGTAAGTTGAAATAACATTTTTCTCCATATTTTGTTTTATGATGGGTTATAGAGCTATCTAGAACTGAATGAACTAACAATTTCAGTTTAAAAAAAGGCAGTCAAATTTCTTTTATTTATGGAAAACGAAATATGCTTACTAAACAGATTCTATGATTCACAAATTCTTTCTAACTCATAAATTATATTGTTCTTCAAAGAAGTTACATTTTAACCTTTATGTTAACGTACCAGTTTTTTAGTACGATGCACATTTATTCATTCAACAGATTTAATTCGAATTTAAAGAAATTATTACTGTAAATTTTATCAATATTTATTGTTAAAGTCTATTAGTGCATAAATTAAAATAGATTTTTTTAAATTTTATACATTTAAACACTACGAATAAATTACATATTTTGTTATTCTGTCTTACCGTTATTCAATCGGACCAATTATATTATTTGATAATTAATTTAAATGAATCTATGTTTGATATAAATTAGACTAAAAGCCGTGTCTGATTCGATGCAAGCTATGCCAAATTGTAATTTTTTTTTATATAGGCTATAAATTTAATATATGACCTACGAATAATTGTTTGAAACAGAGTAATTCGATAAATCATAAAGGTTTACAAATGAAAAATAAGAGATTTCCTTATAGAGTTAATTANGCTTGTTGGAAAATCGATTCTATATTATAAATTACGAGACCAACATATAATAATAATTACAATTATTAAAGAAGTGTAATAATAATATGCTAAATTGGTTAATTATGGACTTACTTTATATAATCGTAACGTATGTATACATGCAATTTAAATAAACACATGATTATATAATATTAAAATAAATTTTTTAAATATGAAGTCTTTTTATATAATTTTAAGACTTCTACATAACAATTATTATCATATTACGTTTATTTAATTTTGATTTATATGTAAAAATCCCAATACAATAAAATTATCATGAAAATAAAATAAAATTCATGATAATGTAATATGCTAATCAGTATTAAAAGTAATTCATTTTAAATTTACAATATTTGATGAATAGATATACAGTATAACACTGCAGGATGTTGGCACAGATTAATTTACATGGATTTTTCTAAAAAACGTTTACATAATACTATTGAAACTTTGTGTATTCAATTAACCTATTTATGTTTTCCTTTAGAATCACAATAGTAAAATTAAACCAGCTACCGGTTATGACAATAGCTATTTATCTTCCCTTCTGAAAATTTATAATAAGCTTTCAGATATGCACTTCGTCTAGAATGAAAGATGTGTAGATTAGAGCCATCTTAACTGATTATAAGCTTCGAGAACTACAGTATCGTATAAATTAAAATTATAATAGTAGACTAATTCGATGCATTATGATAATAATAATAAATTACCCCGAGAATTTGAGTTAAACGAGAATAACTCAAGCATTGTAATTAAAATCTCATTCCTTTAAATAATTAATAAATATTATACCCACTTAACAGTTGTTACTTTTTAATGATATTGAATAAATCTAAAAAGTTTTAAATGAAAGGTATATAGGCCTAATATTTAAAATATTTAAAGGTAAATGATGATAATTAACTTTATTTTAGCGAAAAATTAACTGGAACGAATGCCAAACGTTAAAGATTTTAAGGTCAGTAATCCCGTCCCTTTCGACCTTATCGTAAGCGATCGATTGCATTAAAAGCGCTCTTTTAGCCATCGTTTTAAAGCGTATTGTCTTACAGCGTTAGAAATCCGATATGTAAAGACAACACTCAAAGAAAATTGCGTGCATTGAATGCAATATGGCGAGCGGAGAAAGCCGAAGCCGTAACAGGGTCCATCTCACTCTCGTAGCCTAGCTGACGTTTACAGCGGTCGTAAACACCTCAACGACACTTTTACGTCCTTTTAACAACACGCGCTTACTGTTTTCCCTACCGACGGAAAGTTGGTTGTATATGTCTGTCCGATGGCCGTATTATGTTAACTCACTATTAATAGACTCTAGTAAAGTTAAGGTTTATTACTGATGGTCCATTTGTGGTCGTTTTATGGGAGTTTTAAAGCGTTTTAATGCCTAAACATACAGATAATGTTTCAATAGGAAGATTTAATAAGTACGCACCATTCTCTGACGTTTACGGCCAATAATTTCCTGCTTTTTTTTGATATTCATCTATAATTCACAGAAACAACATAGTGATATTTATAACGACAAACTGAATAGTTTCCGTCCACAATATATTATATAAACATTTAATATTAGTTTAAAATATTGGCCAATAAAAAAATAAATCGCATCTCTAAATTCCTTTACTGTAAATATTAAATTTTTACGATAAAATAAAATTTTTATAATCGGTTTTATATTGTTATTATATCTAAAATTTCAAACTAAAAGAAAAATCATTGTAAAGAAAATAGGAAATTTTTCCGGAAATAATTATGCACGTCATGAGGCCTACATATAAATTCTATAAATAGACAGTTGCTGATTAAAGAAAAGTTCAATATGAAATGACAAAAATTAAGCCGAAATAAAAATTTTTTAAACAATTCTTACGAAAAAACATTATACTGTAATTATAATCACGTCGTATCAAACTAACCTGTAATGAATGCAAATACTCCATTAAAAATTATTTATCATACTTCCTGCAATTTGCAGAAGCTAAACGCCTACTTCTCGAAACATATCTCCCATAGGATCGTAAGGACCGTTACTTCATTGTGTTACAGTAGCCACCCCTAATCTCCAATTCCCACCCATCACCATATATGCGACACACAAAGGTAGGTTAATACTCCCCTCCCAGCTTTAATTCAGCAAAGTGTTCAGTTTGGAGAGGAGGTATTGCAGAAGAGGCTATATTTTGCACATGGTCTCTACTCATTTTTGGGGTAAAGACGGAAATAAATTCAGGAACCGTCTCAGTTTTATGATGGTCGAGTTTTTACTTCTCTTTCTGACTGTAAAGAAGCAATTCGTTACCATTCGCGGCAAGAAAATCACTTCTGCAAAGAGGGAAAAAGAGAAAATACATAGAAAAGAAGAGATGGAAGATTACTGTCACCAACCTGCAATGGCCATCCACGGATAGAAAGCGTTGGCTGGCGCTTGGGCCACGGCCGGTGGATTCTGACAGCAGGTTGTCCAAGCATCCGATACTCTGCTTGTAGATGTGGGATTGTCGGCGGCCGTAAAACTTCTCATCGTCTCGCTGGTCATGGACGTCGGCCTGACGCCAGCCAGTGAACCTGTCGGCCAGCTGGTCATTTCCTTTACGGCCTGATTGAAACCATTTTGGTCTTTCACCAGACACTCGGGTTTGAACACGGCCGTAGCACCACCTTCGCCCACGGCAGACGAGTAGAGTTTGCACGCGGTAGCAGCAGCTGCTGCCGTCGATGTCGAACCAGAGTTGTTGACAGCGCTGTCGACGTACGTGGTGTCCCCGTGCTGAGCGGCCGCCGCTGCTGCAGCCGCTGCCGCCGCAGCAGCTCGTGCTGTACCGGGCTGAGGGTAGGGTGGCACCAAGAGACCTTGCGGGAACCTGTAAGGCTGGTCACCAGCACCCTGACCGCTGTAAAATCCGTTTTGATCAAAGTATGTTGTCATCATCTAACTGACTTGACGGCCTTTAACTACTGACAATGTTGGGATCTTGTCGTCCGGTCGGAACATGGGATTTTGAATTTGTATTTTTTTACACAACCACCAACTAAATGCCCCCCCGCAGCTGTACGGATTAAATTCGCTCAACCCACGACAGACAGAGCTTGGAGGACGGGACGGGTGCGTCGTGGTGACGGTAGAACCGACCAATCACAGACTGTTCTACAGAACTCTTTTCTGTCTTCTGTATTCTGCCGCCTTCGCCTGTTTGCTAGTTTCTTCACTAACCGAAAAATGTGCCAAGTAAGACTGTATATGTCATCCTTTTCATTCTACTGCAAGGTCACTTTAATAAAATCGAATATACATCTTTTTCCATGCTTTACAGCTTTGCTTTCTCTATACAGAGGTCATCTTGTTTCATTGTACGAGTGTGCGTGAATATCAGAGTAGCCGGCACCGAAGCGTGACTGTCACATGGAGCTGCACAGCACTATTTGATAAGCTTGCTTCCAAAACAAACTAAAATAGATTTCGTATAAACTCTCAGTTTTTTAAAATGTTTTATAAAGAATTTAGATCAATACAGATGAACGTTTCCAAATGAATTGATGAAATAATGCAAGCTCTATCGTATAAACAATAAAATTAAAATTTATTTTGCTTGATTAGTCGCTTTCAATTTGATTTTTATTAAACAACTTAATTGATATATAGGTTTTGCTTTATGTTTAAATGTGTCTTATAATTTTTATGTAGTTTATTATTCATAGGAAAAAAAACTCTTCCAGTAGAATGCAAGCCGATCGATAAAATGTAACCTACACATAAATGTCATTAAAATAACTTACTTTTTGCGTTTGAAATGATTATTTTGAAGGTTAATTAATCAAGATTTACATCTTAGTCCAAGCAATTCATCTGTAAAAGAAATCGTGAATTAATATATTTTANCTATTAAGTTGGAAATTATATTATTTATGACTTAGTTATTTTAAATACTATTATAAACGGAATTTAGATAATAAAATTCTGTTAGTCATATCCTTTACGGAGTATCAAAATTTTGATCTTGTCGCACGATTTTAGATATATCAAAGCAACAAATAAAAGTCTGAATGATCTATCACGCAAGCGGACAAACCAGATATTTACTGCATGCAACAACATATTTATTAAGATTTAACATTTTACTCAACTTTGCCATGTTTATAACTTTAACAGAAAATAAATAAAGATAAGATTAGATATCATATGGTACTACTAAAAAATACATTACTTAATTAAATTATCAATAAGCTTATAATTAATTAAATAATTTAGTTAAATAATTAACATTTGAGATAAATATATTTATACATTACCTTAAGTACTGAATTATAAGCTAATTATATCTACAGATGTTTTACTATTTTATAAAACATGTATTTATAATAACGCAATTAAAATTTCAGATATAAATCTAATTAAATAATCTAGTTAATGTATTTATAGGCTATATTATAGGCTAGATTTTAGATATACGAAATAACGTTAATTAATTGCAAATAAATTCTGAAGAATGTAAAATTTTTGTATTCTTGAAGGTTAGTCTCATTATCAATTGTTTTAATATTTAAATCTTTTATTAATACAGTCAAGCTTACTCTATACTTAATATATAATATAAACAACATTATAAGTTTCTTTAAAAGTAAAATATCCAATTTTACTGTTCATAAGAGTATTACTTCAAACTTGGATAACATAACATACACAATTAGGTTTACACTTATATATAGGCCTATATATATATTATTAATATAATATAGACCGAAACTATGTAAACCTAAAATTTCTAATTCTAATAATTACTAATAAAAATAAGCAAAATAATCGAGAATATAATTTTGAATAAAACTTAATTTAATTTGAGCAAACTTAATGCAATGAAGAATTTGAAAGAATTTAAGGTTTGATTAAAACTTTAATATTCTGTAGAATTAAAATTAAAAAGTTTATTTCTCTTGTTAAAAGATGCAAGTAAAAAGTCGAAGATAGTAACCAATGATAGCTATTCGATTAAATATTGAATGAATATATGTTACCTACAGAATCAATTTGAAATTGGAAATAACTTTCGACGATAACTTGTAGGAAAATAATTTAGTATACTTAATAATTCTTTAAATATAAGATATAAATATGTAATTTTCGGAAAATGATTAACATTCTATCTTTCTATGATAAGAAATTTTAGAAATAATTAAAGTGCTATATGCATAGGCCTACGTATTGTCTCTAGAAGTAGGTCTAAATGCACTCTATGACTAGACAATGCTTTTCATACATATACATATATAGTCTATATATTCGTTAACTTATAGTCAATAAATTATTGAAAAGTTCTATTTGTGTAGAATAAATTAAAAAATTCAATTTTATTTTAGCTTTTCTGAATTTTTTGGAGCACAAATCTACTTATAATAAAATTAAATTTTAAGTTTATACTTTATATTCTCAAGTTTATGATAAAATGTATTTTATTCTATACAAATGTATTTCATATTGAATCATATTTTAACCAATTGTTTTATTAATAAAACTTCTAAATTTGCATATATCAATAAATATTTTTTAAATTTAAGCTAAAAATAAATTTAAAATAATCATTATGTTTAAACAGAAACCAATAGGATGTAATATTCATAGCTGTATTTGAACCAGTAGACTTTATATTATGTTTTTGACAGAAACAATGGTGTATGATCATCTCGGTACGAACCATATCGTGTCTTACAGGTTAGTCAATCATACCTTATCTCCTCTGTTTGTTTATGATGTCGAGGAACTACAATGGTTGTGGCGGGTTGATTTTTATTACACCCTATACGGCACGACCTGATCTGTTCTTAAGCACTATAGGCATCTCGAGAATTTTTATGACATCCTATAAACATTGCATTAAAACCTTTACGAGTATATGAGACAAGGGGAAAACGGTGCCGAGAGCAAATTCGAGCTCAACAGGTGACTATTAAACTTTAAATAGTATCAATGACATCTCAATTTTAAGAAAATTGTTAATTATACAAATTCAATTTCTATATATTTCGAATATTTTTGTAATTTTAAACGATGAATAAGCTATCAATCTTCCTGAAAATAATCTATTGCATATTCTTCTAGTTATTAAGACAATTATTTAATTTTTTTAGTAATTAGATTATTTAATAATTTCCCAATGATTTAAATTGAAAAAATAATATAATTTTTAGAGTTTCTATTTAAAAAAACAGTAATTTATAACAAACAGATAGTTATAACATTGCTTTTTTTTTAAACTTTGCAGAAAATTTATTTGACAACAATGATCGAAAATAGATCACATTTCAGATATTTATAAGAAATTAATTAATACTTTTATAATAATTCTGTTTTTAAATTTAATAATAAAATTAATTGGCCTATTAGAAACTGTCGTAAAAATTAATTGGTTTTTCACTTTGCTTTTTATTTTAAATAAATAAATTTTAGTAATGACTACATAAACAACAGGTAAGAATTATTGAAGGTCTTTCTATTATTCAAAGCCATGATTACAGTAAGCATGTCCACTCTTAAATCACTGGAAGTCATTTACTGTTTAATGAAAGCTCTTGCCCACAACCAGCAAAAACTACTCCCCAAAACTTTTCTACCAATAGGATTAGGGGGCCGTTTTCCATCCATCATTTAAACTTATCCAATAGGAAACTCCGAACCTGTATTGGTGACCATTACTCTTCCACACTGAAAACTCTTACTGTCAAACGCACTTCATGGATTATAGATCAAACTTCTCACTCAAGCGCATCGATACTTCTTTTTTTTAATTGTTTTTACTACTAGCATATTTTTAGTTTTTCTAATAAAACGAACTCATCCAAACGATCTACAAGAAAACTCAGTTTTGAATTGGATATTTTTAAAATTAAAACAAAACTACAAAGTTTCAATCATTAAAAATATCAATAAATACATAATTTCTTTACTGTATTTTTTCTATAGTTAAAAAGATTTCATATAAAATATAAAAATTTATAAAAAATTCTTAGTTATAAAAAACAAATAAATTTTATTAATTCTATTTAGCTTTTTAAAGTAAAAATAATTCCGTTTTAAATAAAACTAAGTATAAAATTTTTCTAAGTTTTAATTATTAGGCCTATAAGTAATATATTTCTACAAGTAGAAAATTAAAATGAATAAATATTAAGCATAGCTTGATCTTAATATTAAAAACCTACTCAGTAATGTGTATATATATATATGCATTATAATCCTATTAAATATTTTTAGTAACGTATAGAATATTTAAAATAATTTGCCTACTTTATACTACATGAGTTATTCTAAATGTAAGCATAATTATATTCTAACACATGGCGAAATATAGTTAATTTATAGCACTAGATATTCAATTATTTTCCCAAAATGTAAGTTTATTTGCATTCAAAATACGAATGAGAAGCAAGTTTAATTTTTCATCTGTCGCGAATTCTAAAAAGTTAATAATGTAATGGATCATTTCGTTCTCTTTGTATCGATGTACACTCGTGTAATTAAAATCGTCCAGTCCCTGTTGTGCGGTTCCTTTTCATCTTTTCGGGTGAGCAGAGGGCAGTGAAAGAGAAATAAATCTTCGCGTCTATTACAGACTGGACAAGACCACTGAGACAAAAGACAAGTACGTAATTAGAAGTGTTTTCCCAAGTTTCATTATTATGCTGAGAATGCCAACGTATATCTTGATGGTTTAATATTACTTTCTTGCTGTTTCTATCGCAAATTATTAGATACGCTACGAACGGCATAAAAATCTATTAATTCTATTCTTATTAGAACCTAATGGAATATCATCATCAAACATTTTTGCTTGGAATTATAATCAATTTAGTTCATGGACAGTTTATCTGATATTATGGAAATAGAAAAATGTAGATTTCGATCATTATTAGTGCATTTAAATTCTAAATCTATCTATTTTCGTATTCTGTGGATTTCTTGCGACTAAATTATCGAATCTTACACAAGAATTCATAAAGATGTCTTTCATTCGAAAATGATATGGCAAACTACACCAAAGTAATTTAATATTTAATAAATATTAAATAAGTTGATTAATTCGAATCATTCTCTATTAACTGTATATCTTATAGTGTATTCAAAAATGCAACGATAAAATTAAATGAAATTACATAATCACTTTTATTGCATTTTGTAATTTACGATAAAAAGTTTTCAACTGGTTCTTATAGTCAATAGTTGTCAATGAAATTATTGGCAGCACTTCACCTACTAAATAAGACGCTATAAATCTTTACTGTAAACTTGAAGCTTTATATAATCAGAAAGTAATTTATAGCTACAACTAAACGCAAAACAGAGCAAATTTCTACTCTTAGAACATGTTCGAACTTTCTAAAACAGAACAGTTTTGGCTTATTTCCCATTGATATAATGCTTAAAAAATAATAATATTACTATATTAATATAGAATTTATCTAAATGCTTATAAATTATAATAATTCGAACAAACAACGATGCAATTAATTAATATATTTGAATTATTTAGTTTTATAATTTCAGTGATAAATTTCTTATATTCACAAGTAAGACGTTATTGAAAATAAATGTTTCTCGTCATCTAACACTCAGATAGTGTTACTTTAATAGAGAGATAAATTAAGTAATCTACAAGTTTAAAAAAAAATTAATTAAAAACTTAAATAAACACACATATAATATTTTATACGTGTTTAATCAAAATATTATTAAAATATCATCCTTATAATAATGATCAATATTAAAATTAGCATTTAAACTTTCCTAGGGATTTATAGCTTGTTGGAAAATCGATTCTATATTATAAATTACGAGACCAACATATAATAATAATTACAATTATTAAAGAAGTGTAATAATAATATGCTAAATTGGTTAATTATGGACTTACTTTATATAATCGTAACGTATGTATACATGCAATTTAAATAAACACATGATTATATAATATTAAAATAAATTTTTTAAATATGAAGTCTTTTTATATAATTTTAAGACTTCTACATAACAATTATTATCATATTACGTTTATTTAATTTTGATTTATATGTAAAAATCCCAATACAATAAAATTATCATGAAAATAAAATAAAATTCATGATAATGTAATATGCTAATCAGTATTAAAAGTAATTCATTTTAAATTTACAATATTTGATGAATAGATATACAGTATAACACTGCAGGATGTTGGCACAGATTAATTTACATGGATTTTTCTAAAAAACGTTTACATAATACTATTGAAACTTTGTGTATTCAATTAACCTATTTATGTTTTCCTTTAGAATCACAATAGTAAAATTAAACCAGCTACCGGTTATGACAATAGCTATTTATCTTCCCTTCTGAAAATTTATAATAAGCTTTCAGATATGCACTTCGTCTAGAATGAAAGATGTGTAGATTAGAGCCATCTTAACTGATTATAAGCTTCGAGAACTACAGTATCGTATAAATTAAAATTATAATAGTAGACTAATTCGATGCATTATGATAATAATAATAAATTACCCCGAGAATTTGAGTTAAACGAGAATAACTCAAGCATTGTAATTAAAATCTCATTCCTTTAAATAATTAATAAATATTATACCCACTTAACAGTTGTTACTTTTTAATGATATTGAATAAATCTAAAAAGTTTTAAATGAAAGGTATATAGGCCTAATATTTAAAATATTTAAAGGTAAATGATGATAATTAACTTTATTTTAGCGAAAAATTAACTGGAACGAATGCCAAACGTTAAAGATTTTAAGGTCAGTAATCCCGTCCCTTTCGACCTTATCGTAAGCGATCGATTGCATTAAAAGCGCTCTTTTAGCCATCGTTTTAAAGCGTATTGTCTTACAGCGTTAGAAATCCGATATGTAAAGACAACACTCAAAGAAAATTGCGTGCATTGAATGCAATATGGCGAGCGGAGAAAGCCGAAGCCGTAACAGGGTCCATCTCACTCTCGTAGCCTAGCTGACGTTTACAGCGGTCGTAAACACCTCAACGACACTTTTACGTCCTTTTAACAACACGCGCTTACTGTTTTCCCTACCGACGGAAAGTTGGTTGTATATGTCTGTCCGATGGCCGTATTATGTTAACTCACTATTAATAGACTCTAGTAAAGTTAAGGTTTATTACTGATGGTCCATTTGTGGTCGTTTTATGGGAGTTTTAAAGCGTTTTAATGCCTAAACATACAGATAATGTTTCAATAGGAAGATTTAATAAGTACGCACCATTCTCTGACGTTTACGGCCAATAATTTCCTGCTTTTTTTTGATATTCATCTATAATTCACAGAAACAACATAGTGATATTTATAACGACAAACTGAATAGTTTCCGTCCACAATATATTATATAAACATTTAATATTAGTTTAAAATATTGGCCAATAAAAAAATAAATCGCATCTCTAAATTCCTTTACTGTAAATATTAAATTTTTACGATAAAATAAAATTTTTATAATCGGTTTTATATTGTTATTATATCTAAAATTTCAAACTAAAAGAAAAATCATTGTAAAGAAAATAGGAAATTTTTCCGGAAATAATTATGCACGTCATGAGGCCTACATATAAATTCTATAAATAGACAGTTGCTGATTAAAGAAAAGTTCAATATGAAATGACAAAAATTAAGCCGAAATAAAAATTTTTTAAACAATTCTTACGAAAAAACATTATACTGTAATTATAATCACGTCGTATCAAACTAACCTGTAATGAATGCAAATACTCCATTAAAAATTATTTATCATACTTCCTGCAATTTGCAGAAGCTAAACGCCTACTTCTCGAAACATATCTCCCATAGGATCGTAAGGACCGTTACTTCATTGTGTTACAGTAGCCACCCCTAATCTCCAATTCCCACCCATCACCATATATGCGACACACAAAGGTAGGTTAATACTCCCCTCCCAGCTTTAATTCAGCAAAGTGTTCAGTTTGGAGAGGAGGTATTGCAGAAGAGGCTATATTTTGCACATGGTCTCTACTCATTTTTGGGGTAAAGACGGAAATAAATTCAGGAACCGTCTCAGTTTTATGATGGTCGAGTTTTTACTTCTCTTTCTGACTGTAAAGAAGCAATTCGTTACCATTCGCGGCAAGAAAATCACTTCTGCAAAGAGGGAAAAAGAGAAAATACATAGAAAAGAAGAGATGGAAGATTACTGTCACCAACCTGCAATGGCCATCCACGGATAGAAAGCGTTGGCTGGCGCTTGGGCCACGGCCGGTGGATTCTGACAGCAGGTTGTCCAAGCATCCGATACTCTGCTTGTAGATGTGGGATTGTCGGCGGCCGTAAAACTTCTCATCGTCTCGCTGGTCATGGACGTCGGCCTGACGCCAGCCAGTGAACCTGTCGGCCAGCTGGTCATTTCCTTTACGGCCTGATTGAAACCATTTTGGTCTTTCACCAGACACTCGGGTTTGAACACGGCCGTAGCACCACCTTCGCCCACGGCAGACGAGTAGAGTTTGCACGCGGTAGCAGCAGCTGCTGCCGTCGATGTCGAACCAGAGTTGTTGACAGCGCTGTCGACGTACGTGGTGTCCCCGTGCTGAGCGGCCGCCGCTGCTGCAGCCGCTGCCGCCGCAGCAGCTCGTGCTGTACCGGGCTGAGGGTAGGGTGGCACCAAGAGACCTTGCGGGAACCTGTAAGGCTGGTCACCAGCACCCTGACCGCTGTAAAATCCGTTTTGATCAAAGTATGTTGTCATCATCTAACTGACTTGACGGCCTTTAACTACTGACAATGTTGGGATCTTGTCGTCCGGTCGGAACATGGGATTTTGAATTTGTATTTTTTTACACAACCACCAACTAAATGCCCCCCCGCAGCTGTACGGATTAAATTCGCTCAACCCACGACAGACAGAGCTTGGAGGACGGGACGGGTGCGTCGTGGTGACGGTAGAACCGACCAATCACAGACTGTTCTACAGAACTCTTTTCTGTCTTCTGTATTCTGCCGCCTTCGCCTGTTTGCTAGTTTCTTCACTAACCGAAAAATGTGCCAAGTAAGACTGTATATGTCATCCTTTTCATTCTACTGCAAGGTCACTTTAATAAAATCGAATATACATCTTTTTCCATGCTTTACAGCTTTGCTTTCTCTATACAGAGGTCATCTTGTTTCATTGTACGAGTGTGCGTGAATATCAGAGTAGCCGGCACCGAAGCGTGACTGTCACATGGAGCTGCACAGCACTATTTGATAAGCTTGCTTCCAAAACAAACTAAAATAGATTTCGTATAAACTCTCAGTTTTTTAAAATGTTTTATAAAGAATTTAGATCAATACAGATGAACGTTTCCAAATGAATTGATGAAATAATGCAAGCTCTATCGTATAAACAATAAAATTAAAATTTATTTTGCTTGATTAGTCGCTTTCAATTTGATTTTTATTAAACAACTTAATTGATATATAGGTTTTGCTTTATGTTTAAATGTGTCTTATAATTTTTATGTAGTTTATTATTCATAGGAAAAAAAACTCTTCCAGTAGAATGCAAGCCGATCGATAAAATGTAACCTACACATAAATGTCATTAAAATAACTTACTTTTTGCGTTTGAAATGATTATTTGGAAGGTTAATTAATCAAGATTTACATCTTAGTCCAAGCAATTCATCTGTAAAAGAAATCGTGAATTAATATATTTTAAAAAGTTTAAATTATTAAATTGCATAGTTAAAACATAATACTATATTAAAATATTTAAACACTTCTAACATTTAATTAAAATTAATAGTAGCGAGTTCATTTTAATTAATTAATTTAGTTAATATTGAAATTAGGTCCATTTAAAATAAAATTTAAACGAATTTAAAATAGTTAATAAATAGGCCTGCATTTACTGAATTTGGTTAGTTTATTTAAACTTTCTCGCACTTTTAATTTAAACATTTTAAAAGATATTTAAAATTTGACATAAATTTAACTCATCTGTATTTTAATAATCATATTAAGTTAAAACTTTTCGATAAAAACACAATCGCTATAAATTCAAACTAGATTATCTAAAAATTTATTGTATTTATACTTAATACATTAAACTTAAAAGGTATTGTTAAGATGAAATCGTGTATATTTTTATTTTGAAACCTTACATGAAGGCCTATTAAAAGAATCTTTTATAATGCAAATATTAGCCTATCTTTCGATGAAACATACGTATCATAAAATAATATTTTATAAAAGAAAAGATGCCTACAATTATAAATAAAAATCCTCAATACGAGTCGTTTCTAGAAGTATTAAATCAGAAGTTAAATTATATTTTTTTTATACATCTATCTTTATACATATTTTTAAATAATGCATCTGTACAGATTATATTTAAAAAGATGTTCTATATATCACATATATTATAAGTATTTTTTCTAATCTACATATTGAGATAAAATTTGAAACAATTTATAAAAAAAAAGCGATTAAGTTTACACAATCCATTCTTACTCTAACCTATATTTTTAATTTATAAGACATAAGAAGGTCATAATAAGAATTTTTTGCAAGATTTCTTCTTTAATAGTAATATATCAAAATAATAAATCAAATGAAAAAGTATAAGAAAATCCAAAATATTGGTCACGTTATCGATGAAAATAATATTATGTTGAAATTGGAAACTTCTAAAATAAAAATCAAAATTGAAATAATTTTGAGAATAAAATGTATAATATAAAAATATAAATTTTGTTTCAAATATTCTACTTCGTTGGAAAAAAAATTCGTTTAAAGCAATTTATAAATTTTTAATTTACAAAGAATATGTTTGTATGTGGATTAAGTGAAGTTCTCATGGTAAAAATATTATTGAAATTTTTTCTAGTTATAATAGACTTATTGGAGATATAATCTTATCTGAAAAATATTCAGGCCAATAATTTCAATATATAATTTATAATAAATAATTAGCAAGCTTCCTAAATAAAATTTTTTTATGTTTTAATGAATGGAGTTAAGCAATGTAAAAAAAAAATTAATAAAAAAATTCTTTAAGCCTTGATTTAGTCCTGCTCAGTTTTAATTTATTTAAAGTTTTCAAAGAGAAATAATATATTTACTACAGAAATATTTTCATAAAAATAAATTAAGCAGATTTATTTTTATAAATTTTTCAAATATTAGCATTTTAATCATTTGAAATTCGTTCGAGATAGTCTATTATTTATCATTTTCTAAATTCAAAATAGTTTATATACTATATAAACTATTACAGATTTAATGATTTATTTCTGATAAAATTAAATATGCACATTTAAAATTGAGAAATTTGTACTGTATATTCTCTATAATTAAAACTAAATCCAAAGAATTCTTATAGAATAATATAAATTGCAGATATAATATATTCTACAAAGTTAACACAGAGTGAGAGTATACTATATAAGTTTAAATATAAACCTATATAAACTTCGATTTTCTACAAAAATTTATAATCCTGATAAAAACAAACTTATCACTGTGTTTGAAGAAAATTTTCAGGAATCGGCAAGATTAGAAGACGAATCGTGCATTGGAATTTAGATGCAACTTTTATTTCTTTCGGTTTTGATACAAAGAGGACCAAACAAGGAGATCCTTTAGGCAATCTTACAATGATAGCTGACATGGAGATAATTTCACGCCCAGAGATAATTAACTTCTATTGGTTGAAAAAGATTCTACCTTTTCTATTTTCAATAAATTTTTAATTAAAAGTTTCATCTATTTTTGGTTTTTTAGCTCCAAAAATTATTCAATTTAAGCAAGTATTTAACAGTTTATTACCCGAGGAAATATGACTCCAACCGTTTTAAGCAATTGTACTACTTAATCCATAAAATTCGAAATCAAGCTTTACCACACAAAATCACACAATTAATTCAAATGATAAAGCTTTATCTCAAGAATAAACAGAATATTTATTGTGATGTTAATAAAGTTTCTAAAATAATATTTAAGAAAGTTATAAATATCTGAAAGCTACTTCCACTTNTCAAAACGCAAATGCTCATGACATTGGCCCTTATTTTTCAAGTCATAGATACATATTAAATAGACTATATTAAGTATCAAAGTAGAGTTACATATGCAGTTATTTACAATTTTTATTAATTCTTTCCTTCTATAATTCTTAATATTCACAAAGTTTACAGTTTATTAAACTGTAGTCCTATATTAATATTGTCTCTGCTTAATTTTCCAATATTTTTCGATAAAATTTACGAATTTTAATGATGTTTATCAGTTGAAAAATGGATGAAGAATAAAAAAAAAATAAATAAAAAGTTATACAAAATTTCAAAATGTTATCATTTTTAAAATAATTAGTGAAAGTTATCTAATTTAATTAGTAACAGATACATTAATTTGTTTATTGTAACTATCATTAATAATTAAATATATTAAGAAAATATCTTTAAAAGATTTTAAAATATTAATTTTTGCAAAAAAACTAGTTTTAGATTACAAAATAAAAATTATTACATAGATTATATTCAATATTTAAAGCCGATAACTCTTATATTTTAAAAAATGTTTAGCATTGAATTAAATAGTAATAAAACGAAAATTAATTAAAATTTTAATACATATTTTAATAATCTGATTAATTTATGTAATCATTACTTGATTGATTACCAACTATTTACCTAAATATAAAAATTTTCATGCCTAAATGAATTATTAATCAGAATAATTTTTTTTAACTTTAGAATTACGATGGATATAATTACTAGTATCAGAAGATACTTTTAAATATTTTTAAGAATAATTTTATTAAATAATAGATTTTTAGCTATTAATATAACATAATTCGTTTAATTCTGAGTTATTTCGTGTTGTTTTTCCCTTTATACGAAATGTAAAAAACAAGTTAATAAAATGAATAATTTTTACAATATTTTAAACATTTGGACTGTAGAGTATAAATGTGCCAAAATTTTAATAGAATCCCGCTATCTGGCTAATATATTTTAAAAATATTTTTACGGGTATGACAGCAACACATCTCGGAGTATTGCTGATGAAAACACTTTTTTTATATCAGCAGATAGTAAAATTTAATCTTCTCTTTAAATATAGGATTGAATAGCGATAAAATCTAAAAACAATTTTTCAAACCATTTCTGAATACTAAAGATAACTCGTTTCTTTTGCAGCTGTTAATAAAACTACTAAAACAGTGCATTTAAAACGCGTTATTATAAAATGTAACATATCTGACTGTCACGAGCAGTTGGGTTATGACATATAAATGTTCAAAAATACTGAAATTTTTAAATTTTAAAGTCATATTTACTCTTCTTTAATGTTTTCGAGAGTTGTTTTGAAGAGAAGCACGCTTACAGGCTGAAATTCAAAATGGCTGCTTGCTATTGGATAGTCAGGCGCATGTGCCAAGAGAACTTGGGCAACCATGACCACAATCCAAAACTTCAATTGGTCAATAAAATTATTTAAAAACCAGAAAAATCATATTAAATTAAAAGTTACTAAAATAAAGATCATTTCACACTGAAAAAGTAAATTTAGTTGACTTATTAAAATCTAATTACTATTTTCTTTATTCGTTAAATCCCATTTTCAAAATTAAGAAACGAAATTTTGAATATTTAAAAAACTAAATAATTATTTATATTTATAATATTTGGTATATAATGATGTAATTCAAAAGTAATCAATTTAGTTCATGGACAGTTTATCTGATATTATGGAAATAGAAAAATGTAGATTTCGATCATTATTAGTGCATTTAAATTCTAAATCTATCTATTTTCGTATTCTGTGGATTTCTTGCGACTAAATTATCGAATCTTACACAAGAATTCATAAAGATGTCTTTCATTCGAAAATGATATGGCAAACTACACCAAAGTAATTTAATATTTAATAAATATTAAATAAGTTGATTAATTCGAATCAT